CCCCCATCACTCGTGGACACGTTTTGCATTCCAACACGTTATTTATTGACAATCCACATACATGGGAAGCTCTCCTCCCATGCCCCCCACCCCCTTCCCCCCCAACTCACCCCCCCACCCGAGGGGAGAGTTAAAACACCTCGTGGAGCAAACCCTCCAAGGCCCTTTTGATCTCATTGACCTCAGCCTCCTGCTTGCCCCACCACTCCTGCTGCTGCAAGGCCTCCGCCTCCCAGTCCAGCTCATAATTCCCCTCCAGCAGCCTCTGGAGCTCAGCCAAGGACTCCTCCAGGCTCAGGGCCAAGGGCTCCGATGGAATGTGCCCATGCCCCTCCCTCCCTGCCACGACCCGGGGCTCCTGTTCTGCTGGCCCCTTTCTCCTCCCCAAGATGACTCTGAGGACAAAGATGACCCCGCAGGTGTTATGGAACCAGGACGGTAGGTGGAATGTGGCCCCAGCCCAGGGGCCTGCCGGCGCCTCGGCCCAGTGACCCATGAGGAGGAGGACCACGCTCTCAAGGGTCCCGGGCACCGAAATGGTGACGTTGGAGTGCCTGCCCTTGCCAAAGCCCGTCGCCGCCTCCTTGGACCGCCACTGACGTGACTGCTCTGGCCACAGCAGTGGTATATCGAGCCTGGCCTGGGCTGGTGGCCTGGGATGTTTCCAGTCCACGTCAGGGACAGGACGGCCTTTGGGTCCAGGTTTCCGTTTCCGGTCTGTGTCTTGGGCTCCGGTCTGGCTGGCTGGCTGTAGGGCAGGCTGGACTGGTGCTACCCGTTCTTCCCTTCGTGGAAGAGGTTGGGGCTGAGAGTCAGGGAGGGAACCAGGGCCAAGGGAGCCAGGGCCAAGGAAGGGGACGGCACGCGTGAGGACCGGCAGGATGTCTTCCTCATCCACTGTATAGCAGCCTCTTCCTGCCAGCTGACCCGGGACCGGCAGAGGTGCCGACGGCCAGAGGCAAAGGATGACGCGCACTGCGTCCACATGAGGCTTGGGGCCGGATACCCGCAGCTCAGTTGGAGGAGGTCCTGGGAAGTGCGGCACAGGAGTCAGCAGCTGCCCTCTGTCCAGTGTGTCTCCGTGGTCACTCGGCTGGCTGGTGTAAAGCCGTGTTGGGACAGCAGAGGCCTGGGAGGGACAGTCCCAGGATGGGCAGGGGTTTGCTGTGGTCTTGTTGGTGCCCGATCCCCCACCATGGGGCTGGAACCAGGAGAGGAGCCAGGCCAGCCCATGCAGGTACAGGAGGCGCCGGCTGCGGGTACGCGGGCTTGCTGGCCCGCAGAGGGGCCCGAAGGCGGACCCTAGCGTGGGAGTAGGGTGCTCGGTGTGGGTGAGGGGCCCGGGGCAAGAGGAATGGGCATGGAGTGTGTCAGAGGTGGGTGTGGAGAAGGCGGTCGAGGACGTGGCCACAAGTAGCAGGAGAACCAGAAAGGCCATCTCTGCTATGGCTCACCTTGGCAGCAGCGCCGGCTTTTATAACCGCCCGTGGTGCATCACAATGCCTCCCTGTGACCCCTGCGTCCTGTCCGGCCAATCACCAGGCTGCTCTCAGCAGGCCACGCCTCCGGCCAACTGCCAGGAGGCTGTCGCCGTGTCCCTCTGTAACGGAAAAGAACAAATGGGACTCCATGTTGGATCTGTTCCTGTGGCTTTCACCACTGTGCCTTGTTTTCCAGGCTTCGTCTTGCTAGCTCTGCACCTTTTGTAAAGCAGTGTTGCCTTTAGCCTGAAATGTATAGGAGAGCCTATTCTCGGGACTCTGACCTTTAAGGATGTTAGCATTTCTGCATTTATGTAGAGATGGTAAATTGCAAAACAGAAAATAACCTTTGTTTTGTTGGAGGTTTACAGGGACACCATGGCCTGACCCACATGGACGGCTGCAGGAACAAAGACTTCCTGCAGCGAGAACTTTGCAACATCCACACCGCCTCCCCTATTTTTCTGTATAAAAGGAGACTGTACTCTGACTGGAGTAGGATGGTTCTCCAAGACATTAGTCTGCCAACCTCTTGGTTGGCCAGCTTACCGAATAAAGTCGCTATTCTTTGCCCCAACACTTTATCTCCCATTTTATTGGCCTGTCGTGTGGCGAGCAGAACGAATTTGGACTCAGTAACAATTGGGATTTCTGGTCACTGAAGATGGGCACCACGGGAGGTGCAGGCTTTAGGGGCGGGAAAGCAAGGGCGAGCTTTACCTCAGACGAGCGAGGTTTGAGGTGCTATTACACGTCCGAATAGAGCTGTCAAAAGCACAGTTGGAGATATGGGTCTGGAGTTCAAGAAAAAAGTTAGAAGGACAAAGATGGTAACTTGGAGGCTCCCGAATTTCCCTTCTACCACAGAGGCACAGAGTACATGGCTTTTCATGTAGCAATTGCCTCTGAGAGAAACCCAGATCCTGGCTCAGTGGTTCCTACACATCGCGTAACAGAAAACACCCACATCAGAAGGGGTAGGAAAGGCACATCCCCACCATCAACCCCACCCCCAGCGCAGTGCCCTGCAATTGAGGGGCCCCCCAACTCCCAGCTTCTCCCTGTGGAGCGAGGGGTCTAAACTGAACAACTCACACCCTCCTCAACTTTAAGGCTTCCATCCAAGGGGTGAGCTCCAGGTCACTGAGCTGTGAAAGTCAGCAGGGCCTGTGTCCACCATTCCCACAGGAATGTGGCAAACAGGAAACCAGTGGGAGCACCAGCACCCGCGGGGCTACTCCCCGAGGCCCCAGCTCAGAGGTTGCAGGTAGAAATGTGATCTTCCTGCTTCCACTTGCCTGGAAGGGGTTTGGTTGCAGACTTTGCAAAGGGCCGCCTGGGGCCCAGCATCTAGTTAGCACACACCCTGGTGCCAGCTGTGACCCTCCCCAGACCCCTGCCTTCTCCCTCTGGCTCACCCCAACAGTAAAACCAAGCATCTCCCTGGGAGGAGTCTGTCCACACAACTAGTGCCCCAGCTTTTACAGCTGCCATTCGAGGATTGGGCCCCCAATCACCCAGGTTTGGTAGCCTGCAGGACTTACACTCCCAAGTCCCACAGAGCTGAAACAAAGACACTGACCACCCCCACCCCCCAAGACCGCCTTCTTGCCTCTCCTGTTAAGCTCGGTCCTCCCTGCAGATGGTGACAGCAGGTTGAGTCTTCACATCTGGTTCTCAAAGCCCTGCTCTCCTCCCTTATCCACCCCAGTCGTTCTCCCTCCGCCTTGCCCAGTTCTCCACCTCTCTCCTGCACCTCCCTGAGCCTCTTTCCGAATTTCGGGATCTGTCTCAGGTCTGGCTGAAGCTTTGGGCAGGGCTGGGGCTGGGGGTTGTTCTTGTATCCACGCCTGTCTTTTCGCTTCCCAGGAGAATGTCAAAGACAAGCTTCGGGCCATTGTGGTGACCCTGTCCTATAGTCTCCCGACCCCTCGGCTCCGGCGACAGGCTCCTGGCCAGGGGCTGCCCCCAGTGGCCCCCATCCTCAATGCCCACCAGCCCAGCACCCAGCGGACCGAGGTGAGCATGGGTTCCAGCTTAGCCCAGGAAAAGGAGCCGTGGCCCCTCTCCAGTGACACTCACTCACAGCTTGCAAGACTCTTTCACCTGTTACCCCAGTATTTCCTCCTGTTTCTAGATGCTGTAACAGGGTGGACCCCAGATGAAACATGGCCCAAGTGATCATGAGTTCCTAGTTGGAGGGGACAGGCAGGCATTCAGGGGCCCAGGGTTGTGGGGCTCTGCCGTCTTCAAATGTGGTCTCCAAGGCCATCTCTATCCCAGCCTGCTGGAGGGGAGCGTGGCGCTCCTTGCATGGGATTCACGGCCGGTCTGGCAGTGGCGCTCTTCACTTCGCGTTCTAAGTCTGGGGCTCAGTTACATGGGAGAAAGGCCGAGGAAATATGGCCTTGCTCTGGACTAGCCTGCTAGCCTCTACTGCGACATCGTAATACTCCCATCATTTTGCTGATGGGGCCCCAGCTCAGAGTGGTTGAGTGACCAGCTCGATATCACACAGCTGGGAAGCCGCAGATCTTTGAGTTGAACACAGGCTATTTACCCCTGTGATCCTCCACCCCACCTAGGCAAGGCACATTCACCCCCTAGTAATGACCCTCCTCGAATCTCTCCTCAGATCCACTTCCTGAAGCAAGGCTGTGGGGAAGATAAGATCTGTCAGAGCAACCTGCAGCTGGTCCACGCCCGTTTCTGCACCCGCATCAGTGACACCGAGTTTCAGCCTCTGCCCATGTGAGGCGGAGCAAGGGAGCAGGCGGGGTGGGAAGGCAAGAGCTCCAGGATCGAAGGAAGTCCCCTCAGGAGCGCCAGTCTGCAGGGAGAAAGCGGAAGGCTGGGGGGGACCTGCTGATAATTCAGAAGTTTGCAGATGAGGGCAGTGGTGGACCCACAGGGGCTCCCCTGGCAAGGAATGACAGGCCTTCACTATATATATACATATATATATTATATACACAAACATACAGTTCACATATCATATCTCTCTCTTTTTAGTCTTCACGACCCTGTGAGATAGGAATTCTTGTAAATCCCACTTTATAAATGGAAAATGGAGGCCTAGAGAGGTTAGGTTACTTGCCCAAGGTCAGTTAGTGGTGGAGCTGGGACCAGAATGGAGGTCCCCTAACTCCAAGTCTTGATTCTCTTAAGCCTGAGATTTGGGAGACCCAGGCGGGAGGAGAGGGGGCATGACCTGGGGGAAGGAGGCAGGAGAGGGGGAGGCGGGGGGAGGTGTTCAGATCTTAGAGTGAGTGGGATCTGACCCTCCAGGGACGCGGATGGGACGACAGCCCTGTTTGCACTGAGTGGGCAGCCAGTCATTGGCCTGGAGCTGAAGGTCACCAATCTGCCCTCGGACCCAGCCCAGCCCCAGGCCGACGGGGATGACGCTCACGAGGCCCAGCTCCTGGTCACCCTCCCTGCCTCTCTGCACTACTCAGGAGTCCGGGCCCTGGACCCTGCGGTGAGGACCTGGGCAGGGTAGGCGTGGGGTGTTCAGGGGCTCCAGCAACCCAAGCTGACCTCTCCTTCTCTCCCCACTCCAGGAGAAGCCACTGTGCCTGTCCAATGACAACGCCTCCCACGTCGAGTGTGAGCTGGGGAACCCCATGAAGAGAGGCGCCCAGGTTGGCACATCTGCCCCTGTCCGTATCCAAGTGGCTCTCTATCCCCCGATCCTTCCTCAAGCCCCTTGCCCTTCTGAACTCTCATCCTGCTCCGTCCTTGGTCCAGGTCACCTTCTACCTCATCCTTAGCACCTCGGGGATCACCATTGAGACCACAGAGCTAGAGGTGGAGCTGCTGTTAGCCACGTAAGTCTGGTGGG